GCAGAGACATTTTCAAACAGACTCGTCCAGAGGTAGTTGCATTTTTAATACCGTCTAATTGCACTTTGCATTCGTTTGCATTAAACAGTTCCTGGACAATTAGAGGCGCACGAGAGATTGTATATTCCTCGATGCGTGTTCTTAAAAGAGATCATTACGCAAATAAAAAAAAAAAGAGAGATGAAAGCAAAGAACAGGAACATTTTAATGGCTCTTCCCCTGAGTTTAATGACAAATACGTTACGGGTTCTCCCTCGTCGCTGGGTTAAATAAAACGCAGGAATCTTCGCGTAAAGTCAACCAAATTCATTTCTATCAAAAAATGTAATAAGTTGAGCGCTTTTATTAAAGCGCCTAATTCAGTTTTTATGTATTTTTACCAAGCAATTCTGCGTCCCCTTGCTTTAAAGTTTGAAGTCAGCCCCTATAAAATGCAATATCAGCCAGGTTATTTTTACGTCAACTTCGGTCGTTCGTCGAGACTTCTTATACGATCGTACATCACGAGTTGGGTCAGTCATGGACATACGATAAGAAGGTTTGTTCGTCCTTTCGTTTCCAGGTCAGCCGTTTCGAAAGGGCCAGTTCTCGTAAAATGTATCCAACGTATCGAGATCCTCGAAATCATTAGGTTACCAGGGTTGTAGTCAAACGCAAATAATATCTTATTTTCGACAAATTCTTCGTGCAAAGAAAATCGAAAACATCAGAGACGTTGCTGACGTCTGACTTTTCTCGATTTTACTACTTCTCGCAGGTTTACGGTAACATTAATTAGCAAAACCATACCCGGTACTTTCGAAAATTTTCTTTTAGCAGATTTTCAATGTCTCGCGATACATGTGCAACCGCGAGTCTGGATCGTCCATCTCTTGACACATTTTCTCTTCGTTCGTGGTTCGATTAGCGAGTTCCAGGCGTTCGAACGACCGTTCGAGTATTATTCCCACGATTACGCTTACTTCTCGCTTCCCTCTTCCAATTGTTCGCAATACCGACTGGCTCGGAACTGAGTTTGCCGGACCCTTCCGGTTTTTCCCTCCGTGGACCCATTTTTCGCTTTTATTACGACGAGAGATTTTCGCACCGCCATCGACCTAATAATTTATCACTCGTCCGCTGTTTCTTGTTCTCCCGAAAGCCCTCGATACGCCGAACCGAACACGTTTTTCTCGTGGAATTTGCCTCGTCACTTCCGAAGATTGAAATTGTTGTTCGATCGAGTCGCGATATCGAGGAGATTAACGCGTTCTACGTCAGCCGCTCGTTTCACACGATGACTGTATTTTTCGCACGCGTTAAGTAAATCGAAGTAGTCGAAATATAAAATACACATCAAATAAGAATCGTTATGAATTGTTTTTGTAGAGGATTTGGTTATTTAAAAAATTTGTATTCGACGTTTCTCCATCTTGTGCATTCTCTGAGCGAGCAGCCCTGACAAGTCTTGGAGACTACCTCTGGAAACACTTCCAACTTCCACGGAACACTCTAGTAACACCTCCAAGTGGCGTGCACAACCTTAACAAACCTTCAAAGTTCTACGGACCATCTCATTTACGCGGGATTACTTGCGGTTGAAACTGTTAAATGAGATATGTCATTAATAACTATGCTCGCTAACTATTCCACTGTACTTAATTCTAGAGAAACGACGCCGACGTTACCGAGATCCTCGAAATTTTAATGTCAAGAATTTCTCTCAGAGAGTCGCGAGTTATGCCGAAATACCTAATACTTTTACCCGGGACTGCCTGCACCGGAATTATTATTATTTGATAAGAGTTCTACGCGGGGAATAATTATTGCAAGGAATTCTGCGTATCCGATTGGAAATAGGCGAAATGTTTTCAAATGAGAGAGTAAGTGCTGGAAGGACTCTCTTAAGGGACAAAAGAAGGAGGTCAATTGAACGCGATTGCTCAATTCGCGATAACCGATAGCGGGTGATCGATCATTTGGCATATTCGACTATTACTCCGATAATCGAGCGTTCCTTTAATGGGTATTCCGATAATCGACATTCCACGAACATTCTTCGGGAATTTCTGCGTCGCGTGGCTCGAAGAGCAAACTCGTAGAAACTGACCAACGCGCAGGCTACTAAGTAACGACATGTACTATAAACGCACATTCGTATCTTTAAAAATAAATAAACACCATCGAATACAAAATTTCTAGTCGAATCGTCAGAAATTAGAACGGAGGGGTAGTTTCTTCTTTTAGCAAACGAACACAATTGAAAACATTTCTGCGGTAGCTCGACGAGGTGGAAACAGCGTAAATAATTCAGGTGGTTGTATAACTGGTGGAATTAGCTCGAAAGGAGAAAAGGTAGGAGTTAATTTGCGAGTCTTTGTTCGATCCACCAGAGCCCTCGAAGACTTTGTTACGGTAAATATCTTAGAGGAACGTACATTGTATCATTTCCTTCGCTCCCTAACCCTTTCGCCGTGATAAATGTACACCAAGGGACTCTGACGTCTCGACGTAATTTCCAAGATAAATATTCGCTGCCCGTAATATCTAGCCATGCAATTCACTTTTTCAGTTGATTGCGAAAACTACGAGACAGTCTTCACGAAAATATTAAACACACTCGGCGCAACATTCAGCTACGAGAGTAGATTTCAGGACAATTTACTTGTGTAAATAATATTTTGACTTTGTAACATGTAAAAATTGTCGCAATGGAAGTACGAGCCACGCGAATTGTTCGAAATACTATGTTGAAAAAGTTTAATCGAACGACCGATACCACGAACGCGATTTCGTGAGTGAATAGCAACGCTGGAATTCTCGATGAAGAGTGATCGAAAAAAGCATGAAATTGTCATACGGTAGAGAGAAACAATTTTTGGAACGAAACTGCGCATCGTGATTTTTGTCGTTTCGTAATTGATTAATGCCTCCTGCGAGCGATATTTCCTCGGTTAAATCGTGCCGTATATCGCGAAGCTACGGTCAGAAACGAGAGATACTTTATAGGCATTTCGAAACGGTTAATCCCCGAGGCTGTCGCGAGCACGAAGCGTGGAAATATTTCGCGTGAGCCTCGAGCCGGACGATTTCGTGTAAGAACCAGCCAAATAAACAATATTTCACATCGAAAGCCCCAACAGGAAAGCGAAACCTGTAGGGAAAAAAGCACATTTAAAAGTCAACCTCACGGTTCTTTGTTTCGACGAATGAAATTGCGAAACGCCTGTTTGCGAAGCATCGCTACACAGCTCACTCTGCGTGCGGCTGTCTCCGTATAATTCCAGGCTTTCATGGATATATTGGACTTGGTCAACGGAGAATCTATTTTCATCACGCGAGGACTCAAAGGATAGTTTGCCGTCTAACTTTTAGATGAGAACCCGTATAACGCGCTCCTCTGTTCCACAAAGGAGGAGCAAATTGTATTTCGAACAATATTCGAATCACGATCGTCATACTAATTTGTACATTCTGCTTGCAATCGAATGCTTCGATGTAATCGTGTATCGTATTTTATAACCGGTCAACTATGAGATACTTTCATTGGTATTTACTTTTTCGTAACATCTTATGTCCACTGTTTCCATATCGCAAGTTTACTGAACCGAGAACCAAGACTTAACATACGTCTCACGTATCGATGCCATGTACACAGCGGTTGCATGCCCGCGCATTCGAAGTATACCGATGTTTCGAGTGCGTGGAGTATCTTCTGCGCCGCTTGTCGAGGTAGAACGAATAACAAAAGTGTGGGGTACGCGTGGTGCGCGGCTTGTTGCAGCAGTGTAAACGTACCCGTTACGGCCACTCGTGCAGACGAGATCGTATTTGCCGCAGTGCAGGACTACAGGCAACAGGATAGTTATGCGCCAGCTGTTCCACCGTGTACTTTCGGACCACTCTGCTTCGCGAGGGTCATTCGGATATTCATGCGTCGCGAAGCGATCGCTGCCGCGTTGTCCAATTCGAAATTGCGCGAATAAATTGCGCAACTCTCGAGCTCGTCTAAACGAATTCACAATTACACTTGTAATTGACTTTTCTACCAGTCGAGCTGCTTGACTGGTTCAAACTCTTCCCACACGTACACTTTGCGAACGAATTTCTACACTAGGTGTCTCGATATACCCCGTGTAGCTCCGTAAAAGAAGCTAGTCAACGCGAAATAATGAACCAAAACTTTAGAATTAAGTTGTTACGTACAAGGCTATGCTTCTTCAGGCTATATTGTAAGGCTATGCTACGAAAGTATGGTACGTTTCTTAAAGGGAAAATACACAACCTTGTCTCAGACAGATATACACAACTATATAAGTGATTCTACAGGCCAAATTAAAAAATAACGAAATTGTATTCGAGTTATTAATCGTTGAATATACGCGTGAAAGACGCAGAAGTTACGGACCTATACTACTGTCGGAGCATGGAAGGTCCGTAAGCGACGGACTCATAGTACTGTCGGCGCGCAAACGTCGCTCAACGCGAATAAAGTAATTCTGTATATGGAGACACGTAGTTGATAGTCTCAGGCAAATTTTTGTAAAAGAACATTTGTTCAGCTATGAAACCTATGCAACCAAGCTGCTTCCTGACAACGTTATTTAATAATAATCACTGTGCATGCCGCGTTGAGTGCATTATCTCCCTCGGCTTTCTTTTCGCGTACTGTAATTTTATAAATGCGTTCAACTGCGAAACGAGAACATTTTTTTCCACGGGACCAAAGGTTGCGCGATGACAGTTACAGAGCCGTTTGTAATTAAAGGTCGCGAAAAAAGGAAAAAGAGAGAAAGCAAGCATAATCGTATGGACGAATGAAAAAGGAATGCTTTTAGCTTCGCAAAATATGCGCGATAATTATGTAGAAAGACGATAAGTAAACATAAATTGGTTAAGGCTCTATTTCGAATTGGTATTTGTAGAAGACTCGATAGGGTACCTAATTGTAACAAGATAGCGTGGTTAATCGCCTATGGTTTGTGAAATGTATTCCCAAATTTTTTCTTTATCGTTTTCAGAAAAAGCTGTACACAGTTCTCGACTGTTCGAGGCGGATACCTTTCAAGGAGTGCAAACGCCAGAGAAAGGCCCTCACTTTGACACAACGATTTCATCGAATGTGACAGGCCTGGTTGGAAAAACCATTCAACTCGTTTGCAGAGTAAAGAACCTTGGAAACAGAACAGTAAGTCCTCGATCTTTGAATTAGTCATATCCAAAATGTGGTCGTCTAGGCTTAGATCCGTAACCTTTCACCGTTCCACGGCCTAAAAGTAATTCTTGAGTCGGTATAATAATGCAAAAACAACAGAATGTTTCAAACAGCGTTATTAGAGGCAGAGGATTTACGGCGCCGTTTTCGAGAGATAAGACGGCGAAAGAGAATGAGAAGATTAATCCCACATAACTTGAATCCGTTGAAAAGCAACTTACGATTGTTCTCGTTATGCAATTATACGGGAGGCTTTGAGTTTCGAGCACATTGCTGATTAACTTGTAAGCCGGTTTCCTAGTATTACAGCCATCTTTAGACTACAAGATAGATATCTTTATTCCATTAACTTTGATATCGTTATGAACGTGCAATTCTGATTCTAACAATTAACTGAAATTAAAGGTAAAAAAGAAGGTGGGTTTCTTAAACCACCCAATCGATTATGAAATATAAGTATACAAGTTGGATATTCGAGTCGAAAGCTTCTTATGCGAGGCTAGGTAGGTTAAGTAGGAAAAGAAGAAGCTCGTTTAGGGATCCTCCGGTTTGGGTGTCGGCAGTATGTTACATTTTTAATCCCAAAACTCATCTCTATGCAAAGCACGCGCTCACACGCACAAGCTGGCCAAATACGCGTGTACTGGCTAATACGTTTCGCAGATAACGTACCTACATTCGCGTTCACGCGAATAACGTCACGATGGTGCGAGTAAAATTGAGATTTTCACGAGCAGGCGAAATTACACCGAGTCTCGAGGCAGAATGAAAACTCCGGCGCGAATTCAAAAGCGATATTCCACGAAAGAAAGTTTACCTGGCAGTACTCCACCCTTCGTCGCTCTTTGAATTGTATTTGCTTTAAGGATTGGTCTCCTTTGCCGACTACAGACTCGTAGGGCTCTATACGTGACGTTCCGTGAGGAAGTACAAATAATTTAACGGACAATTCTAGAGTTAATCCAAAGCAAAGTATATCGAGGTAGCAAATTTGATTTTATATTTTCAAAAAAGTTATTTTCTGTTCAAATATGAAAGAAAGATATGATTCGAAATAATGAGCGAGCGATCAATTGGTTTTGCGAGTAGACTGGACATTACGAGAGATAGAAGTGGGTCGAGCGTAATGAATGGGCCGCGGTCTCAATTTTCCGGATTCGCGTGCGGATCGCGAACAGAGGCTCGCGATGATTGCTTAGCCGCAGCTTGTATGTCGAGCGTATTAATCTGTTAAATCGCGCCGACAAAAACGATTGAAATTGCCTTTTGAGCTGCAGGACGATCGTTAGCGTAGCCTGCCAAGGATAAAATAGCTTATGACTGTTAGGACGGCCTTGGATCGACAGTCTCAGTGGACATTGGAGTTCATTTGAAAATATAACGCGTATAAAAAATAATTTGCTCGAGTGTAAATGTACAAACTGACTAATAGCTCGTCTTGCGAAATGTGAAATCGATCTTAACAGTCGTTTTACTCTTAGGTATCTTGGGTGAGGCATCGAGACATACATCTATTAACGGTAGGTCGTTACACCTACACGAGCGATCAACGTTTCGAAGCGATGCACACTCCACATACAGAAGAATGGACTCTGAGGATACGATACCCCCAGAAGAAGGATTCTGGTATCTACGAGTGCCAAATATCCACCACTCCACCCATCGGCCATCCCGTTTACCTCACCGTGGTTGGTGAGTCAGCGATCGCCTAAACTGGATGAAACTTTATTCGACTAAATCCAATAACACAATCCGAATTGGTTCATTTCTACGCTACTCACATTTTCTAGGTTCTTATGATCCTTACGGAAATGACTTTTTTTACGTTTAATTAATTTCACAGCCCCATAGCTGTACAAATATAACATACAAATCCGCAATTCGAACGATCCTTTTTTTCTTTGTAAGTTATTGTTCGCGATTATCGCGAATTCTACAGAGAATGTAGCGGGCGGTTAGAAGGAAGCTTGGGAAATCCTGTCCTAACGTATATGCTCGGATATTGGCTCGAAAGTCTTTCTCCTCTTTCGTTCGACCATAGGTGTACGTTATACAAGCGTCGCGGTGAAATTGCACCGTCATTTATACGAGACGGTCCGTTATTTGTGGCACAGCCAAGAAGGAAAGAATAACTCAGAAATAGAGAATAATGGTTTTACAAAATTAATAGATCGTTTTGTCGGTTACCTCAGAAGCGTTCAGCGTTGCTTCAGTTCATTGTCATCGAGATGCTTATGCCTCCGGAAGATGGTTTCCCTCTCTTTGCTCGATACACGTCCTGACTCTATCGTATAATTACGTTGCTGGCGTGGTACATGGATTTCATCCATGTCCCCGCCGTAGCATGTACGATTAAACCGCAGATATGTATTTCATTGCTCCGCTACCTGCTTTGTTACGAAACTTGTTACGATAATCTACCTCAAAACTACGATATACGTGTCACAATTTTCCTGTCACTGCACTCGTTAGACACGACACGATAAACGAACATTTATAATAATATATTTCATATTACTAAAAATACAATCCTTTCTTTTCTCGAACGTACCATCGTTGGGAATTGTAAATCAACGCGAGATCGGAGAAATTTCACAGGATCTCGATCCGAACGTAACCGTTTCACGTACGTGTTTTCCGTAAGTTTAAATTTGTATGGGTCGCGTGCACTCCGATGAACAGACGAATCTAAAAGACTTCTGAAAGTAGGTTCCCCGATTCCTTTTTTTTTTTTTTCTTGCGGTGAATTAAGCGCGAAAGAGGTGAAGACCAACGAGAGGGAGTCAAAGGAAAAAGGAGAAATAAGGGAGCGAAATAGGGGATCGAATCCAATAGATAACGTTGAAAGAGAGCAAGAGACATCGATGGACGGAGCAGGAGATTCCGGCGATTTCTCTTCTTCCGTTTCTTTCGTGGAGCAATAGCTTCATTAGCTTCGGCGATAATTGGCTCCGTTCGTGACTCGCTTTCGCAAAACACTATCCGATCCTTGACGTCGTTATCCGTCCAAGGTTCAACTATGGGAGGCCCTTCCTGTTCTCTCGTCTCGATCATCCATCCGAAAGAAATCCACGTCCTGGATATCCGGTTCTGTGTAGGACACGAAGGTAATCGTTTGATTTCTCTTACCTCCCGTTCGCAGGATTTAAGCGTTACCAACTTACTTCAGGGCCTGATAATCGCCGCCGACGTTGATGAATCGTTGGCCCTTTCGATCGCGACTCGGACCCATCGATTATTCGCCAACGTAGAAGCAGCGTATAAAGATGCACAATTTAACTCTTACTCAATGTTATGCGTTGTTTGTTTGATAATAGTTGGAATATTTGGTATACTATCAGACGTGTCTAGACTTTTAGAAAATGGTTAACAAAAGAGAAAAGACACACTCTTTGTTAACATCAAAGCTGACAGCGTCGTGAAAAATAGAAAGCAAGCGCAGACGTCGAAGAACAGATACAGATAGGCAAATGCTCGCTCTATTGTCCTGGCCTTTCGTGTTTCGTACAAACATGGATACGCATCGAAAGACAGCAAACGCTCTCATGGGTTCTAGCTCTTTTACGACGTCTAATAAAGGATCAATACCTACTAGGACGGATCAAAGAACAATTGTCTTATATTCAATTTCATTCGCAGCACCCGATATCCGTAAACTTGCCACGTTCGAATTGAATCTTTCAAATTCAACTTTATCACGTTGTATTCTTAATACATAAGTATCCTTCGTCATGACTTTGTCTCGAAATAGTCGAAATCCACGTCGGACGTTTGCTTCAAATGTCTTATGCGTTCAGGTACAAGAATAGAGTCTATGAGATTAAAACGAAAGGAGAAGAGAAGACTAAAAATCGAAAGTATATTTTTCCGGAGTTTTCGCGTCCGATTTCGTGCCCTGGCTCGTTCTACTTTCCCGCGAAATTGAATTTGCGGAATTGAGTCAAGACGACATTTGCCTCGACTTTTTTCCTCTTTCCTCCGTTCCCGCTTTTAATTCCATAAAACGAACTTCGTTTCCGCTAATGCGAATAAAAAGGGGTATTTAAACATTTTAACCTCGGAGCTCCATTACAGGAATAAAGTTAATTTCTCCAACGTCAAACCGGAACGCATTCATTGTCGTGTTCCCCTGTACTCGAAAATAACATTTTCGCCAACGTTTGCCGCTGAACTTTCAAGTTAAGATCTTAATTACCGACCCTGTAAAAGGATTAGGGCATTATTATTGTCCAAAGGTAAGGAAAACGTTCATTCGTGATTGTATTTTTTGAAGTTGCTCGCCGTAATCGCCAAGAAAACGTTGAGTTCGACGATAGAACTATATCTTCGAATTACTCTGTAGCGGTAATTTGTCCCTCTCCAAGCTTTCAAAGCTCCGCTCTACTTTGTCAAGAAATATTTAAAAGTACATTTCGTACGGAGGTAAGCGATAAGGCTAAGGAGGCGATTATATTCCGTTCGAAGCAGAACGGAATTTTGCCACTACATTGCGCTTCGCTTTAGAAACAAGGCGAATGTATGTAACGATTACGAAAATCTCGATAGTTGGTTCTTAGTCGTTAAAAGCCAGTGCCATTACCAAAGAACGTCCCGTTCTTTAAGGGGCTTACAAGCGAACGTAACGAGAATGGGTCGCGAGTGAACTCGACCGATAGTCGTTTTCGGTCTGATTTAATACCATTACGTTTAACTCCAGAGACCAGAGCTACCGTTCTCACGATATGTTACCTTGCTTGTTCGCGATGTGTGGAAGAACGAAGAAATCTCCTACGTTTCTTGATTCGTTTTACGACCGGAAGCGGGATAATTTCTCATTAAAATGTAAGTAGAAAATGTGGAATAAAATTTCTTTCACAGAAATGTACGAAGGAAATTAGTTGCGCAAATTTGTTTAATCTTTCGTTAAGGAAAATAAAGAGGTAGAATCGAGCACATTAGCTACAACTTGAAAAGAAAGTCGAATAAGGTGTGTATTTTAACGAATTTCTCGGTTAAGGTATTCGTGGTCCTCGCATGAGAGCCACGTAAAGGTAGAAAGCGATTCGTTCGAGAAGAAATGTTTCGCATCGGATCGTAGAACGGAGGCTCGCCACAAGGAATCTTGTTTCTCGATAAAATCGCTCCTCGGCACGGCCGCGCCGTGGTCTCGCGCAATTTATTGCTAATACGCGCCACGTAACCGTCATTGTGACGGATTAACGAGGCGCCGTTGAAAATGCAAAAAGCTTTAATTTCAATGACTATGGGGCCGCGTGTACAGAACGGGCTGAATAATTACAAGGTAAAAGGGGAGGCCGGATCATCGTGATAACAATACTCGAACCTCGCCGTTACGACGTGCTATTGTAATTACCTCTCGTGCTTCGAGTGCAACGTGCTATTTTCGCGAAAATACCAGGGGTGCACGCGCGATGCACGATACACCGTTATTCCTACGGCAGCCAACTCCTTCCCTTCTTTCATCGTGTTCTAACTGCGGTTCGCGAGGAGGTTACATTAGTTGAATAATTACCTTCGAAAATTTGCAATGTAGGGAGCTCTACGCTCTTGAATCGTTAGCTTTGGAATGAGAATATAGGTACACCGAAAGAGACGAATGTTTGGATAAAGATATTCCAAAGGAAGGAAAATATTCGTCGATAGCTAACCTATCGACGAATCTACGGTCGGGACAGAAACGATTCACCTGCCAAAGTCAGTTTCCCGATTGTGAATGACTCCGTGAATCGACTTCCACTTTTACGCAACCCTTGCTCGCCTCTCCGTTTGAAAGATGAAGAGGATGTGTTTGCAGATGAAGCGAGCCTGGAGCAAAAAAGCAAGGGATGAACTTGTAAAGCATCCCGACGGTGATTCGAAGTCTGACCCTCGATGGTTTACGAGAGATCAATTGATTATACTCTGTTTATAGCATCCCTGTCATCCGTCTTTTATTTTTCCTCTCCTCGTTCCCTCCTTCTGGCCAAGATGCAATATCGATCTCAGTTCTATCATCGAATTTTCGAAAACTGGAGATTCTCGGAACGATCGCGATAGCGGAGTTTCTCCGCGCATTAAAACTTGCTACGCTAATTGCGGCTCATCGGAAGGGTGAAAGCGCCGATGATTCGAACCAGGCTAGGGATTTTCGACTTTGCGGATTAAAGTGGCACCCGAGGGCGAAGTTTGTAAATTTTCATGGCGTTTATTTGTGCGTTTTGAAAGGGGTCGACCAGCGTAACGTCGTCGGCGGCGATGGCAGTCAGCGGCAACGGGAAAAGCTTTTAACGACTGAGGAGCAGTTGGGTATATCTGTTACCGTATCAGGTACAGCGGCAGGAGTGCATTGCTTAATCCTGTTTCGATAATCCTCTCATCGCCACCGGTACATTCGACCAAGTAACTCCCCGACTATAGCAAGCAGGTTTGGTGCGATTGGAAAAGTATGGTAGGAATCAAAGACGAGATTAAAATAAATTAACTCGGGCTTTTCTAATTCCATGTGGTCGAAAACTGCCTTTGATACATCTTTGTAACAAAAAAAAAAAACCAGCAAAGATGTGCAACACATTCAACTCCAAGAATTGGTTAATTACCTTGTTTAGTTGCAATAATACGGAACGTACTCGTTCGTGCCTAGAATTATAATTATAAATTCTTGTAGTCGATTGAACCGCGTCGATCCATTACACCAACACACGTTTTAAACGCTTGGTCCTCGTCGCGCTAGCGTGGCGCGAAAATTGGTTCTACCGCACAGACCTGACACTGGCGTTCGTTGGAGGGTTCGATTGATGAAATGGACAATGTGGGATGGGCGAATAGCGTTAGACGCCGCAGAAAGCGTGTGCAGGTTGAACAGAACGGGATGGGGGTGGAATGGGATGGGATGGTATGGGATGGAACGGGGCGGCGGTGTAGCGACGATTATCGTTACACGTCGAGCGGGCAAGCAATTTCTGGGGAAGCATCGGTTAATCCGGTTTCGATAATCCTCTCATCGTCGCCGGTAGATTCGGCCAGGTGGAGATTCGGTCGGAAGGAAACAGGGCGGTTGTAAGAGCGAACTGGAGAGGGGGTGGGAGTACGATAGACGTCTCGTATAATAAAACAGAGAAGGGATTAACGGCTCGCGGTGGGTACGGGTGATATAAAGTTTCGTTAGTTCAATACGGTGGCGAATGATTTCCAATCCTGGCGGGGCGCCAACCTCTTTCCAGACGGTTTAACTGAAATAAAGAATGTCATATCGAGAATTGGCCGAAAGTAATGTCCCGAGCGGTAGAACGCATCGTAAGCACAGGCCTAGCTCGGAGGAGACGTTATTTTCTGGGATTATCGCGAATGATAAAACTGCTCCGTCATCCTTGTCGGAAATAACGATCCAACGGGTTGTCAGTCGATCGCGGTCGAAAATAACCGCGAGCTTTTACCAGGCCTTCCATTAGGATTGTACTCGCGGTCGAACGACGCGGTGTCTCGTGAAAATTTATCGTTCGACTGTGATTAATCCGTTCCGAAAACATATTACAGCTTGCTCCGGCAAACCGCCGACAAACGCCTATCCGACTGCATTCCAGGTAAACGGACATGCGCTATCGATCGATCAGTCGCCACTTTCGAACTACCGTGAATAGGACCTTATAGCACCGAGCAAAATACGTTTCAGCGCAGTTGAAAATTCTTGGAAAAGCGATCGAACGCATGGGTCCACGGAATATCGGTGTATTTTAATCACGATTCTCGATAAAATACCGTCTAGGTTAGTGTATCGGAAGGGTAGGATCGGAGCGGCGTAGTCTGGCTCGATTTTCGTGCCGAAGAGCAACCACTCGAGACGAGCGAAAGGGCAGCTATCGATGGACGCGTACACGGACGCAATCAATTTCTATCGGTAATGGCATGGACGGAAGATTATTATCGGTCGGAGGAATGCTCGTCCCTGTGATAGAACGACGGGGACGACGAACTGACCGAGGATATGGCGCGTAACATATGGGAACCGTAGCTTCTGAAACCGGAGACCAGACCCGAACGGTTTCAGCCGACGGTAATAATGCATGCGCCGGTTGCACGCTCGTCCCGCGTTCGTCCCAGGTTAAGCCACACTCGATACCGTCAGCTGTGTGTATATCCGACGGGGTAACGTCCTCGATCACGGCGAAAGGACGCCACTGAGTCCGGCATTATTGTCCTTTCGAACCCTGGTCACGATTTTCAGCCGCAATGGAAATCGCTTTGCGAGACGCTCAACCTTTCCGCTGTCGTCGCGCAAGGGGAACCGTCATTATCGATCCCAGCCTCCTTTCACGTTCCAGAATAATTTATCTCTGCTTTCAGAAGGTGTTGTCGCGACCGGTCACATTGAAACTGATCATCCAAGTGTTTCGAGATGAAACGCCATATACCGAATAGGATAAATCACTTTGATCAAAGTCAAAAGAAAAAACTAGAATCGTTCTTTCTACAATCGCTAAATCAACTTGATTAGATCACAGGATTTCGGTGTATCAACGTAGACGGTGATTCTATTCTTTGCGAAGCGTCGATTCGCTACCCTTCTACTTGTTAGCTTTTTTACAAAGAGCAAAGAGCAGTGGTGATTCAATTGCGGCGAAAGTCGCGGTCGAGTGTACGTATCCGGTGCCTCCTCGATTTATTTCCTGACGTTACGAAGCTCGAACAAAGATCGATTAGGAGCGGAGATCGATGACTTGGTCAGATATTGATTCGCCAAATTAGTCGAACGTTACGGATTCTCGTGGGACAAAGTTACTGGGCTATCGGAAGCAAGTGTCGTCGATACAGGAAGTACCAACCATTTAATCTGCTCAACGTGTTTGTTTGTAATGCACGATTTACCTTACACGCGAACCTGATCCCGTTACTATTTTTCGTTGTCGCTAAAAACAGTTTTAAGGGAATAAACAAAGACGTTATCCTGTACGTTCTACATGTTACGCTCGGTCACGTAACTTTCTTACCGTACCACGTATATAACTAGAACACTTTACGGCGCGCAGCGTAACTTGTACGAAGCGTTCTACCTTCGCAGAGAGCAAACGACTCAATTTTCACTCGAGACGTATTTGCCCAAGAATGTACAACCCTCTTACGCCGGAGACACCTAAAATAGAACATAGGTACATGCGAACAACGTCGGCCGGCAAATCATGGCTGACCAAAGAGAATTCGAGAAACTCGAGGAATCCCCACGGTCGCGCTTCTTCTTCCTCGCGTTGGTAAACGGTTGCGCGGGTAAACCTGTTATTCCTTGCTACAAAATGTCACGGGAATAGCAAGACTGGACTACACAGATGATTACCAACGCGACTATTTGCTTCATACCGGATGATACACGATAAACGTTTAAATCCTGCCCCTTGCGACCGACCACGGGCATAATTGAGACTTTTGGAAGCAAATATACTTACTCGATCACTGAGAAACCAAACTCGAATTTTGTTAGTTCTTGTGCCCAGGGACACAAATCTCGCCCTAAGGAAGCTCTGAGACCAGCTTCGTCGAATTATACTTCTGAAATTCTTTCTTAATAGAATACTTGAAAAGTAATTTCGAGTGATAAGTGAATTTTTCGTCGAGATTGTTGAATAAACGATACGTTTTACCAGACAAGTAGATATATTCCGTAGCAGTCCAGCCTTAAGTTGATTGTGCGCGACACGAATTCTTTCGAGACGAAATTCCCAGCCATGTAGAATTGATCCAATCGGTATTCCCTCGGTCGAGTCTTGCTTTCAAGGAACGGTATCGGATATATATCGTATCAAGAGATCTCCGTCCAGCGTTATTGGATTTTATTCGACGGGCCGACCCGCTCTTTGCGTCTAACGCTAAGATTGAATTTGAACATAGCCGGACAAAAACCAACGTTCCCGTTCGAACAAACAGTTTCTTTTCTCCGTATACGAGAAACATCGAGACCGCTACTTTTCCTTGCCGTCGCGTCGGTTACCGTGTTTGTTCGCGTATCAAATCCGCGTGTGGAATATTCGAAACTTTATTAGGATAAAATAAATGTTGTGTTCGCAGAACCAGTCACAGAGATCTCTGGAGGTCCAGCGCTCTTCATCAACAAGGATAGTACGATAAACCTGACGTGTTTGGTGAAATACGCTCCCGAGCCACCGACCGCGATCGTTTGGAGCCACAATCGCGAGGTAAGCGTTCCCGTTGAAAACGTCACTTCGTCGACCAACTTTTTTTTTTTTATCCCGCGACCCGTACGATAATGTGTAGGCGACGCTTAAGTCTGTTTCACGGACCAAGGTATGCCGTGTCGAGCTGTAATACCACGTCGAGAAGAATATTAACACGCCTGGCATCGATCGGGTACACGATGTGTCCGTCTGAGTAAAAACGCGAACGGAAAGTAGCTTTCAAGGGAGTTCCGGAGCTACCCTCGAACGGGCCGCAGTCTGAAAACGTGTTTTAGAGGGATTTGTCCCGCGATGCATCTCGCCACTTAGAAGAGACACTTCCCGTCACCACTTGTCCTCTCTGGCACCGCCCTTGCCACCGTCTCTGCCGCAAAGTACCTTTATTCGTAGCTAGTCACGTCACAGTCGGATAATGCGAGACGCTGTCTATCCTCTTTCTTTCGCAGGCGATTAACTTCGACTCGCCGAGGGGTGGCATCAGCCTGGTCACAGAGAAGGGACCGGTGACATCCAGCCGCTTGCTCATTCAAAAAGCGATCGAGAAAGACTCCGGGCTTTACACGTGCTCTCCAAGCAACACTCGTCCGAACAGCGTACGGGTTTACATTGTTAACGGTAAAAGAAAACATACGACTGCCGCTCGTCAACCTATTTCGCCGCGACACGGTTTCCCTAGGAAACTGCTTCTCCATTTACCCACGAGTGCAGTCAATTGCTCCACTACACAGCTTCCTGTTTCTTTCTTTCTTTCTTTCTTTCTTTCTTTCTTTCTTTCTACGTTTGCGCGGATCAAAGGAACTATGCTCGAATCTCGTGATCGCGTTTCACACGAAAACTTTAAATTGGGTATCGTAATTCTAGCAACTAAGACGCTAGCGCTCCAACTGATTTCTAAACAAACACGCGAAAAGATGAAACGGGCGGTCAACATTTCGAATTTCGAATTTCACGCGTAGGATCAATTGCTAGCTTATAAAAGTATGAAAATAGCGGTACAATCGCGATTAGTTTTGTTGTTACCTAACGATCTACGTACAGACACCGCGTAAACGAGTTTCACTAGTCGTATAATCAAAATGAAATCTTTGGTTGCGTACAAGTTGGCTCCTTTCGCGCGACAACCCGAAGGAACTGAGAAACTTCATGGAAGAGTTCGTTGCGAGCGAACGCGGCGTTGCAAGCAGTTTCAGGAGTTTCCGAAATTTCATTTACGTACCTACTACTCCGGCGTATTAGGAGACGCTGTTCGCTCGTAATTTTATGTAATTACGCAAACTAAGTGGAAGTGTTGACGCGTTCGCCTGCCATCGGTCGGGCAGGGAATCATCTTTCTTGGGAAGAGGAGAGCTTCGCTATGAACGACATTTTCGAATACCGTGAGGCGTACGAAAATGGAAGGAGGCAACGAAACCTCGACGTCACGATCAAACATGCGTTAGCCTTTCTATATTTCCAAATCAAAATAACTTCTAACTTGTTTATGAATAATCCATCAAACTTAATTTTCGTAAACACTGTATCGTGCCTTTCAATTTTCACCATGCAAACTTGATACGTTTGATGGATAAGTTCAAAAATTAACAATCGATCGTTGTAAATTTATGTCTGTTCCAGAACATCCAGCGGCAATGCATCACGGCAGCGGTAACAGAATGTCCGCGACATTACTTACTTTTGTTCTACTTCTCTCGTCGATCATTCGATGATCGCGAGCGGTTGTAATCGCGGTGTAAACTATTCGAATGTTACGAAACGAAGTCGATGAAGTTGAACTTCGTTCGGAGAAACACGCCCATCACTTACATCCCTGTAAATACTTGATCGATGATGCGCGTTCTTCCCAGGAATTACAAGAATCTACCTGTTTTTTTTTTTATCATTTTTTCTTTGGATCTCTTTACCGTCAAATGTTTACGTGTTTTCAGCCGATGAAATTATCGAGCCCCGTTGGATGGAACTCCGTGAAACGTATGTATAAATGTATCTATTCTACTTCATAAGTATCTTCATAAGTACTCTTCTATGTTGGAGTCTCTCGCAGACTTAATAGAACGCGCATGATTGGTTAAGCATTAAACAGCACGAGTAGCACGATAAGCACGATAATCACATCTTACGATCGATCGTACAAAACTGTTTGTCTTGCTAGAAATTATACGAGAGAAAATTTCGTTCCGTAGCGATTGACGACAAACAAATCTAGCAGTTGTTTCGAGCCAACGCGAACGCGTTCATTACCATTTGATACTCGTTCGTCGAAAGCACCCCACCGATCGGGGCGGTTTTTTAACGAGCGTTTCCCAACGAGTGGTCTCGAGCACGCAGTGTGACGTAACTCCGCGATCGAGTGAATAACCGAATTACAACGGGACAGCTACCATCGAACCAGAATTTATGTAATTAAATAAAAAACACGTTCGGAACACTATCGGGGGAAACGTCGCCGTGGCGTTCCGATAATAAACTCGCTTCTCTCCGACTTGGAAACTTTCGCATTATTCCGCCGTTTCGATACGTTCGCCTGGAGGAGAATAAGCGACTTCTAGGCAACTTGGTATCACGGCAAACTTGTTACATTCTATTCCTTCTCGTTCGGAAATAGAATCAACGTGTTTCGGAGAGACGTGTTGTCTCCTGTATCCAGCGCGAGTAATCGGTTTACTAAAAGAGAACGGAACTATACGATACGCGAGAAATAATCGATTAATACATCGATCTTTCCAATTAGAATACCGTTCTACGCAACAATTATTTATCGATAAAAATGTTAAGTAAGAGCTCTTTTATCCATACCGAATTCCTTCGAATTAATTCGTTTCGATGAATTGTTTTATTTGGAAAGTTATCGAAGGGATCTCGGTTGGTACATATCAAAGAGAACGATTCGCGAAAGTTTCAAATCGACGAATCAGCGAGGAAAAGTCGATGTGTACGCGTAGATGTGAAGAAAACTTGATAGCCATTTAAAGCATGTAAAATCATCTTTTTCGCGTCCACGGTAAGCATGTTTCTCATCCAGGATTTATTTCAAAGAAATTCCTAAAGGCTATGGGAAACGTAGGTCGCATCGTAACGCATCGAGAAAAAGATAAAGAGAATCACGGTAATGCGACGGAACTTTGCGAAGCTGAGAAGCCGAGAACAAGTTTCCTTTTTCGATTAAAAATGTGAGTTCTCATTGCACATCGCTACGCTTTAAGGAAAAACGCTGTTGCCGAGGATTAAGGAAAGAAACGGAGAAACAGTTTGCTCGTAAGCTGTGCCGGACTACTTGTACCGATTACTACTTAACTTTCCTCCTTTTTACCGAATCGTTTAAACCATCGTGATTACAGAAAATAGTGATTACTTCCTTTTTACAGTTTCCTTTTACGCGCAAGGTACCGTCGCTTCACTGTACACTCTTGCGTTTTAGTTCGATGAGAAAATTCTACCAAAAGAAGAACATTAAAATATCCATTTCGAAATGTTTGATCGAGTAACGAGTTCGTATAAATGTTTCAAACATAAACGTTAACTTTTAGTACTTTTCTACGATCGTTATCGCTTTCGTTCTATCATCTTCCACTACCTTTCGTAATATCCTTGCATTGACCCTGAATTCTACAGACTTTGTTATTCGATCTAACGTGTTCAATGATCTATGGAATCGAAGATAGATAGGTTTACGTTCCTTTCAAAGTATGCTTCAATCGCAGAAACGCAAATGTGGTTGTATCGTTATGTATATTTCTATAACTGTCATTGTTTTACACGACACATAGTAGTCGCGTTTTTGTTACACCCGAGGGACCACGAAGGTTAAGCAAAGATGGACGGTCCAATTATCCTCGTTAACAAATACTATTCGAAAAGTGAAAGACAGGTGTTGAAACGAATCGAGATATCTCCTTAACAGCAGATGAAACAGTTAACGCATTCGCTGCCAAGAAATTAAAAGTTTGAAACTAGTTTAGAGACAGCGGCAGAGCTTTCTTATCAAATTCGGATTTATAACGTGTTAAATTTATAAAAATTACCGTTCGTGTTGTTTTGTCGAATTCGTCGGCAGCGAACGCGAGAAGTACGCGAGTAAACCTTCACGTAACGCGAGTCTTTCACCTAAATCATAACAGTCACGACGATTTAATTGTATTCCACGTTATTCACTAGTACCACGATACCGTTAACTTTAAGCGTTTTTATAGAACTCAAAGAACGATGTCTCGTAGCTATTAAATATGAACGATAAGCGTTACTTAACATTGTTAGTTCGACAGCGACGTAAAGATTAGTCGTTACGTCTTCACCGTTTAAGTAATTTTTTACAAGTGTAAATAATTAAGAAACTCGTACTTTATAGCGACGACTCTAATTTCTTCGTTGTAGCTATTTGTTAGATTAAAGAGAAAGTTTATCCTGTCGAATGTTATTCTCGAGAGTAATTAAGAAAATATCAATTTACCATATCTAAACTTGAATTCAGTTATTGAACGGGAATCTTCATATTTTTTTTTTTTTTAATCACTCGCGAGAAAGGGCATAGGCAGAGAAATTTCTAACTTTATCGGTGGACATGCTATTATAGAATACAGACAACGAAAATTCCAGGCAGAGATTACTTAGTCATTTGTCCTCCTTCCATTTCTTTTAAAAATCTATAAAAACAAACAAAACTTTTACCAACATCTCCGTCTAATTTCTCTGGATTTGATGCTTGAGTTCACAGAAATGGAAACGAATCGAGGACTCGTAAACGATCGAGACTCGTCTCATTCACGGCGTAAGCCGTTCAATAATAAATTTGACAGCATTCGCCATGGAAAGATTGCGAAACAGCTTCCTTGCCCCAAGCCTTTGCTCTCGTCGTTTCATGTTACCGTAGACGACGCATTTCGAAGGAGCTGTTTTAATTAATTCGCGTCTCGACTGGTGCTAATTACCGTCCTTTTGCAGCGAGACTTTTTCGCGCGTTCTCCGCTTTGTAACATCAGCCGGTCACCCTCTTCAATCTTCCGTTAGATTTCACCTACCGTGGCTATTCACTCGGACGCCCCCATTCTCTCTTCAAGGCGTCATTTTTCTGCTTTCATTCCTTCTCGAGTAGAAACTACTTTTTTTTTCGCGATTTAACGATGCCAAGGAAAATGTTTCAACTATGTAATCTATGTTTTAACAATATATAAATATTATACCAGACAGTATCGTTAGCCATTCCTTTGACTATTTTTCTTTCCAGATTTTCAAGTTCATCAAAATGGTGCTATAGTTTTCATTATCTCTATAGAATCGCTGCAACCTTTTGATAAATTAATTCGCGACCTCGTCCAATTTCCGACGAACAGTCGCCTTTAATGTACCTTCGCACTTTTACCCCAGGAGATCTTACGTTTTAGCAAGCAGCCGGCTCAATGTTTCCATTTCCGTTATACACTTCCGTTAATGAATAAAATTTAATTAAAAAGTTAGAGGAATTTCCGCGCAACAAATAGAGCCACGACGAAAGAAGTTCTAATTGGAAGGTCGACAGATTGTGTTCCACGCAATTATTTTCTGTAATTCTTTTATTTTCCAAGGAAAAATCCCGCGCATCCCTCGTTTCGCGTAGCATTAATTATCTCACAGCCCCGGAACGCAGATTAATGTCTATCGATTTGTTTCTTTTGCAATTTATCTCGATAAACTTTTCAAACGTTGTTTCATGAGATCATATTATCCAATTAAATCGAACAATGCGAGGAAAGAAAGCAAGTGCTTATACCCATCGCGATAGTTTTATCACACGAACAAGTAAACAACGGCTCAAGTTTGACAAATGTTCTACAACTGAAATCAACCGTTTCCTCTCTTGATTTTCGAATCAGTCTAACACTAGGGTATATAAATGCATGCATCCAGATAGCAGATCGAACGTCGTTGTTGATTTAGCCAGTTAACGCAGGGTTAATACAATGGGTCAATCAGTAGACTCATGCAGATGTCTGTCCCTATTTGTATGTCCACGCATCATCTAACGTTCCCGTTCAATGGTTACATCGTAACCCGCGTTTCAACGCTGCATTGTATCAGAAGTATACCCCGCGAGTGAACGCGTCCGATAATTACTTACCAACCACACGGGTCTCGTTGAAATTCAGTCGCTCCAATTAGTGGCTGAAACGCCGAATCTTTCCCGTCGCTGCACACGAATTATTCAAACGTTCATCGTTGGTCGTCGATCCGACCAACAATTTTTGTATAGGAAATCCGTCAAAATTAATTGGCCTATACGAATGGGAACTTCTTGCTCTTTGGCCACTGAAATTCCTCAATAGCTCATCAGAATACTGTTTAAATAACATATTACTTGGTTATTCGCGTACCTAAAAGCACCACACAGTAATAGAGAGTTATGGGGGTTAACGAGAACCGTAGAAACTCAAGTTTCGGTTAAAGTTTTCGCGTCCAATAGCGATTTATGTGACCTAGCACCATCTGCAAGACGAATAAACGAACGTGTCAGGGAACGTCCTTAGAGATTCTCGGATTAGCGGAGAGTTTCTTCATAGTTGGAGAGTTAGTTGATAAATAGTTCGCGGGAGCAGAAGATGGTTCCTTCGCAAAGACCTCGAGCTGCCAGAGGCTACTTTCTCTCGAAGCAGAGGCATCGCTCACGGTAGACTGTTAATTCTCGCTTCTAGGTCTTGATGGCCTTTTTATAGGTCGCAAGCAGCTTCGCCGCCAAAGTCCTACTTACGAAAGCACCCCACCGAGTGTACTATACTACCTAACTTGTTAGCAAAGAGGGGTTTGGAAGCTCGGGCCAACTACTCGTCGGAGACACAAGGAGTACTTTATTCACTGAGATCTTCGTCAATTATGGACAGCTTCTCTGATCGATCTCTTGTCAACTCTAGTTCTAGAAACCTCGCCGATACTCGTTGGAAAATTAACACCAAATTCGCTTAGAAGATCGATTCTTTTCGTCGTTACGGATGACAGAACGTAATTGGATGAAGAAATTCCAATATCACCGTTGACAAATTGGTACATTAACGGATCAGAGATTCAGGATTCACAAACCAGCCATACAACCAAGTTCGTGGTACGCGCTTTCGAGAAAATTAAACACAGAATCAGCGTTAACGATCACCCGTGTTCCTCGAGACTGCCCCGAGGATACTGGTCGCTTTGACACTCGCCCCAAGAACAAAGCCCTCGACCGAAATTTCATTTAACTGCGAAATTGGGCGAATGATTCGATTGCTTTTCGGCTGACAAACTCCGCCTAAATACTTTGACATCGTTAGTATCTTGCATGAAAATGGACAAACTTCAGTTTACGAAAAAGTTTCCTTTCGATGACTTTTGGCAAAGTTTTCATACTATACGCGAAACACGTTTAATACGGGTAAAGTTGGCCACTCGATCTGTAGTAGTCTAATGTGTAATAAAACGCGTTTTCGAGCTTGGAAGGAACCGAATAGAAAATAAATTTTATCGTGGCGAGCCATCTTTTGTCCCAGTTAGCGTTGAGCTTTCAGTGGAGTCAAAAGGGATGCTATTCCGCGGTTAAGTTTCCAAGGTAACTCTTACCAACCGGCAACAATGGATTTGTAAAGTTCAATTTAATTCGAGAGGCTGATTTATATGGTCCGAAGCGGCAGCGTTACGCTCCAACTGGCACTCTCTTCTTAATTACGTCTCCGGATTCGCTCGCACTGTTTTACGATTCGCATTTATCACGGACCTCGTAAGATTCCCGGCGAAAATATACTGCCGAGAAACAAGAGAGCGGGCCGCCGTTCGTTAAGACGTTTAATTTTATACGCCTCTCAGCCTCGTTCCACCGACGAAGTCGCTACACCGTTATTTATTCTCTCCGACGAGCCCCGTGGAAGAGGGATAAAAAGCGGAGAACGACCGCGGATACTCGCGCAATTAATACGTAATCGTACGGC